TCAACATCCTAGATATGCACCCACCGAAACAATTATAAAATATGAACCCCATGACAATGCCCATGACAAATTTTTCCATTTCAAGTAGCAAATTTATTCATTGTTATTTCTGGATTTATTGCTTTCAACCCAAACCAAATTTTCCTCAAGCATTTAAAGACTCATAAAAAGTGATATCAAATGACCATTAAAAGTACATGCTCACATCGTTCGGCATATGTATTAACATGAAGTGCAGACTGGACAAACAGATTTCCGATTCTCTCAGTACTCAATAATTCCTCTCCAGATGTATAAGCATTTCCAACATCATCAACATTTCTTCAGATATACATAAGTTAAATATACTCACAATTTTATGACATATCTACACTGGAATAAACCATAATCTTCCTACAGAGTTTATTTATATCAGGGCCCTGCATGGATCTCTCTCTCCATAACACATATGTAACACAGCAGAGCAATGAAGCCAGATTAAGGCCTATAATTAAATCAGAAAATGAAGTACCCCTTCTAAAATTATCAGCCGCAGAAGCTAAACTAAGAGCATGGACATGCCGTAATTACGGCTCAAGTTTATTCAGTTCGCCAGAGATAAAACCGATTCCATCCTATTTTTTTCTGTTTACAAGATTTGAATTTTTATTCTTTTTATATACGTGAAGAAATAGATGCATATTTCCCAGGTTTAAAGTCATGTTTTACTTGTCATGGTTACTGCTTTGGAAGACAACAACATGCATTCTGATAAAACTTGCCTTCTGATAAAGAGTTAATTTATTATACATCACTTTGATATCACTCTGTAGGTAGAAGAAATCTTTTAGATACAAACTGCATGCATCAGAAACGTTATCATGTCTGCATTAAATGGCATCCATTATTTAATAGCTTTATGCTTACTAGATATCAACTATTACATAACTTTCCAATGTCTGACAATGATGCATCATCCTCCCTTACTAAACATCTGATCCACAGAGCTGATCCACCAAAAAAAAACCTGAGCCTTAAGATTGAGTAGCAGAAAGCAGTTTATTGGAGGAAAACTCATGGCAAGTCTCCAAAGGACAAATACGCTGCCATCAATGAAAATGTCCCAAAGCCTTTAGAACATCTGAGACAATAAAGTAATTCTATTTACTTCATCAACATCATCCTCCTCTGATTAAATTGATACATGTATCATGTTTGTTGAAATAGGTGACTGTAACTATATTCCCATATTCATTCATTTGCTGTAATTTGATTAAACTAGTGTCCTTTACCAAAGTTTCATTTGGAAATTTAAAATAAGTACATGGCTACTGTTGAACTTCAATATCTCGAACACTGATTTCTTGAATACCATGTTGACTTCTGGATAATGAGGTTTGAATGTATATACAAACTTATTTTAAGTTTCATTTGAAAATCAGTAAATGACAGTAGTTGAAGATTGAGTCTCTCAAAAAGTCTTGAAAAGTACGAAGAAAATGAGTTAATTTTGACATCTCTATAAAACAGCGGTATCATTTTGGACTGTGATATTCTACCAGGCTTTGTGCAAAACCTACCCTGAAGGAAAGCCAGAGGGGCACAGGAGATTCTGCAGTTTGGCATGGCTTCTTTGATCTTCTTGGCCTCCTTGGGGTGGTTAAATCGGAAGTAGTTAGATCTACCCAGACATAGCATACAACCTACAAAAAATAAATCTATACTTTATGCTACATATTGGGATCTTTTCCTTCTTTACTGATATTCTTAATATTCAAAATAACTGGTTCATTATTCACCTCCATTATACAGTAATTGGCAGGGTCAGGGCAACATACATCTTGTTGCAACCAAGAATGAAACTGCCTTCCTGCAGAAGTTAAGCTGTTGGCAAACCATTTGGTTCAATGCATATTGGTCAACAAAACACATTTTTGCCCAAGAACATGCACAGTCAATGTTTTGTTATACCTTTAACTTGTTATTTTGATGTACCTTGTGCTGGCTTCCATGTTTGAAATAATTTTAAATAAGAACAAAGCTGATCCCACTTCGACGTAAAAAGCATCATAGCAGTCCAGTATCTCAAATTGTGTCCAATATCACACTCAGCAGTCCAAAATTCATTTTTCTGGACTGCTCAGTAAAAGATTGGACTCTTAGACTTATAAAGTTAGATAGATGTAGGAAAAATTTTTTCAAGATGTATATTTTATTTATGAATTTCCCTACATTTGCCCTATTGGTCATGTTTACCGTACACTGAAAACCTATTTACTTAAAATCAGTTCCTATACTTTAAACTTTTCTGATGGTGCTTTGTAAAACCTTTAAACCATGTTCTTCACAGCACGTTCAGAGGGAAGGCATGAAACTTTTTTTTTAGGAACCTCACATCAGAAATGATTCAGATTTTAAAGTGAGAAAAAAAAGTTCTCAAATACAACCCAATTGCAGAATGATTGGTTTAAAGTGTAAAGATTGATTTTTATGTGTGAGTAATTTGGCACACTTTGGGGAGTTGGGAGGAATATTTTATGAGGAAGATGTGGAGAATGGACAGCTATCTCACACCTTCCTATTCCTGTAATCTTTAACACTCTCATGTAATTAAAACTCAGCAATCCTCCAATAGATCTCAGATTCAAGCAATTCATTCATCACCCCCAAGACTACATGAATTCTTTGCACATTTTTATCGAGTAAAAAACTATACAAGATCAAATCAAACAGTGTTTTCTTTAAAGAAACTGTTAGGAATGCACATGTACATCATCTAACCCCTGTACACTTTGTACTTCAAACATGTGTACAGTGTACATAGAAACTCCATATATATCATACAGACGTTGGTGCACCAGAAAATTAATTGGCCAGTGACAGCAATTATCCATCATAAAGAAATTACTCTCATTCTCTGCTGCTTACAGTGGGCAAAATAAACAAGCTTCCAGCCAATACACACTCCAGTGATAGATAACTAATAGATAATCTTTGTACATGTAGCAGGTACAGCTTTCTTCCTTTCTCTTTTCCATTCTTACAGGTACAGTATAACCAAGCTTTGCGAATACTACAGCCTGCAACCATGCAGCAACATCTTTCAAATTTTAATATGATAAATCTCATTAGAGAAACTTTTATTAAACTACAACAAGCATAACAAGCCTTATTTTGACTGCAAGGGCAAAAAAAAAAAAGATTCACATTTCATTATTTACATCAGTAATTTTGCCACAACTGAAACCAGAGGTTTTCAGAAAGAAAGGAACCTTCTTAAAGCCTGGATATAATAGTTCAAGACCTCACAGCCATAAATGTCTGCTCTAAGCTTTATAACAAACCCTCAGAGAAAAGGAATAGGCAACACAACTGATGTAGGTGGCACGTGCGGACAATTACCAAATTACAGGCACAAGTTTTTTTAAACAAATCGGCATCATCTGCCCCAGGAGCAGTCGTGGTTTCAATTATCGGAGCGGAAGTTGCCTGTCTTTAAAGGAGGCATGGCTTCATTTGCCTGGAGTCCCATCATAATGGGCAGCACACTTTGTGTTTTCTCAGTAGGAGCCTGCCGCCTGTGTTTTTTGATGCTTGATCAACTTGTCGTTCCTTTTATGATGAGGGAAGACAAACGCTGCTCATCAATTTTACTGTGCTTGTTCCTCTGCTCCCACACTTCAGTCGAATAATGCTACAATTATTCCAGCTCTATAACTACTTATCTCTTTTGACCTTCATATAAAACAATCTGACCTTGAAATTTTGTTTAAAAGTATTAACATGAGAGGTCCTCAGAATTAGTGCACCTTTATTCTGCTGTAATGTATATAACATACACCCCTGTTCTGAATGACTCTGTGTGAGTAATAATAACAATGAATACACCAAAATGATTTCACAACTACACAGTGCAATAATGAACAGAAACTGATTCATAGGAAAATCTGACATTTAATATATGTTTTGACTAACGTACTTTAATTCTGTAACTTGTATAGAATTTAAAAATGTAAAATCGATAATGACTAAGTAAGGACGGAGATGCTTTAAATTTTACAAGCATATGTCCTCCCACCCCAACCCTCTTCTTTAGAAAGGCTTAGACCCCCTGGCAATATTGAGTTATTGGTATATATAGTAAATAGACATGATATCCACAATTGATATTCTTAGTTCCAGAATATAAGAGAAAGACTTCATCCTATAGCTTAACTTAGTTCATAATTCATTTGAAAAATAAAATAACACAGGTTCAATTTGAAGTCCAGCCATACATTTTCTTCACGGTTACAGATTACTGTTAAGGTGCAGCTGACCACCCCTGGACTTGCAGATGAAAGTCCTTCCAGACACAAATTATAACTTGGGTTGTGTCTATGGGGGGAAAGATGATTTCTAAAGGAGGGAAGAATGTAATGGATGGGGCCGTGGATATCAGCCTCTGTAGCTCAGTTGGTAGAGGACCTGACTAGTGATCCAGGGGTTCTGAGTTTGATTCCAGGTCTGGCCATACATTTTCTCCTTTCCAGAAGTTTTAATCACTTTAACCGAGAAGTTACTGATAAATCTGAATATGCTAGTATATAAGACTAATAGGAATACCAGGTCTTTAAAATCCAGATTCCTATACAAACCAGAAAAACGGTATTTGTAAAAGTGGATATTTACAACTGGGATTCGACCAAAGAGATTGACTTAAACTGGACAAAGAATTGAAACAAACTTTTGAAACGACCATGGCCTTATTTGGAAAATTGGACAAGGTCACTACTAACCTGATTTACTTATATGAACACAGTACGGACAATAGCAGACTAAGTTAAAGATATGTATGCCGTGTTAAACAGTATTTTTGCACAGTTGAAACCGAACAAAAATTTCTGGAGTATGATAAGCTACCAAAAATGAAGCATTCTTGCAAATTCGACGAAATTTTATTCAGTATTAACAAAGTACTGGTCAGGAAAAGAACACGATATTCTCATGCATATTAATAAAGGACTGACGTTTATCCTGGATCTGCGCATGTGCGCGGGAAAAGTATCGCGAGAATCATCAGGTCGAGGAAAATATTTTTTGTGACGTCTGTTCATTGAGGGACACAAATAGACCAATCAGCTCAATGAGTTGCATTTAATACATTTATGGGTTACTACATAAAATACTACATGTGTTTTTCAAAAAGGCTAGTTTATAAAATCGCTCTCAGGAAGACTTGATGCATTATGTACATTATTATCTACTAATCCCATGCTCATATATGCATACAAATGATTAACAATGATGAAATTAAAGTTTTCCCCACTCCATTGTACAGGTCCGTTTGTTTAGAGTTTCCCCGTGCTGTACTGCTAGTGGACATTTTCGGTTGGGTGAGCATTTACGGATCTTCAGTATGGAGTGCATTATGCGCAAAAATAATTTATGTCAAGTACAATGTATGGAAAGTAATTTAAACTGCTATGTTTACACCCTGAATGGGATATCGTCAATTATCCCTTTTGGTTTTTTAATATGAACTACATGACATATATAGATGAAACTTACATACAAAACATCTTGCCGTCTTAGAAATATAGTTGGGCTAATTAAATAAAATTGGTGAAGGAATTCCAGGCCTCTAAAAACTATTCCAGTTTGAGGGCACAACCAACCATTAAGAAAAATTAATTCAGGTAAGTAGCATCGTTTTTTTTTTAAAGTGGGTGGGGGGACAGAACAGTTAGAATAAAATCAACTAGCTCGAAAAATCTGACAAGTAAAATAGGTTCCAATATCTTTCACTACTAAATTTTATTTATTCACTACAATTTACTGCCAAATTTCACTTTCGAATTAGCCGGAGCCAATGCTGATAACCTACTTGCAAGATTTTTTATATTATTTTAAAGGGGTCAGAAATACTGTGGTTCATATGTAAAGAATATAATTATATTGTTTAGTAGTATTCTTGTTTTGGCATTCGGTATATTGTGCAGATTTATACATGATATTCTGTGGAATACTTTTTGTTGTTTTGAACTATTAAGAAATGCAGAATCGAATGTATCTAATAACCATTTTGATTGATCAAATTACTAGTATATCATTTGTTTGTATTAGTTATTTCATTTTGGCGCAACATGGTTTCCACACTTCTTTATCCATAGTCGCTGACATCTGTAGAAGTTCACCCAACCGAAAATGTCCATTGAAAATACAACTGCACGTGATTATTCCTCGGTACAAAAAGCAACCAACTCTGAGGTGCTCTCAATATTGACAATCCCTAACTCACGTGTTTGTAGTAAAAACGTAGTAGACCATCATGCTTTTCGGTTCATTCACGAGATTGGACCATTGTTTGCTGTAAACATGCGAGACAACGTGATCATGAATATTTCAATAAGAGGCGGTTTTTTATCCGACACGGAGAGAAAATATTTTTTACCAAATAATATTTCATAACTTTTAAAAGTGATGGAGTGGAATTGTCTTATTTGCAGGAAGTATATAACTTATATAACTTGATGAGACACCACATATATTTATTACTTTTAAAATAAAACACTAATACGGCATATATAGCTTTAAGTGAAAACATACTACGGACTGTAATTTCCATAATTTCACACAATAACCTTTATATTTGAGCTAAAATCTTTGTTCAAAGTCATTTCATATCCTCTATCAATTGACACTGGGTCATGGGTGAAATGTG